AAAAAAATTGTGCAAAAGATTTAGATTGGCCCATGCAGGTTTCGAACCTGCGACCTTCACGTTTTTAGCACGATGCTCTAACCAACTGAGCTAATAAGTGCTCCCTTTTTTCAAGAATTATAAAATAAGGTAACAGATTGAAATTAAAAGGTTAATTAGAAGTTGCAAAATATATGAACGCTAGAAGGAGGGCTTGAACCTCCGACCTTGTGGTTAACAGCCACACGCTCTAACCAACTGAGCTATTCCAGCTACTTGCTTTCAATTTCAATCATTTCCTATTTTATCCAATTTTAGCACTAAGAGTTTTAAGCTTGTTACTATGAACCAAAAGCATATGGTTGATGTGGCTTACATGTATTTAAAAATAACTACATTACACTATGAAATTCATGTTCAAACCTCGAAACAAGATTATTAAGAGAAATAGTCACGAACCTAATAAATGAAAAATCTGAAGTTTCAGTTAAATTAAATATAGGAGAAAGAGAAACAATAAAATAATTTCATGTAAAAATTACAAATTTAATTTCAAAATTATATACTAAAGAATCAAATAATTAAATTTATATATGTTTTTATTAGTGGGTTATTATATTTCAATATGTAATTTATATTTAAATTGCATAAGATATTTTGTTAATTGAATTAGATCGACCATTAATATCTATAATTTTAAGCTTCAATAGTTGGAATATTTATGTAGTAATTATACTTGGTGTCAATTACATTCCAAGACACTCAATTATTTGGTCGGTTATAAATAATTTATGTTTTCTGCATAAAATTATAATTTAGTTAGTCAATTAAAATATTTTTATAAATACGTCAAGCTACCGTTAAATTTGAAATAAAAATCTAACATGACTTCTTGGTATGGTAACAAATTAAAAAAAAAATTGGTCATTAAAAACTCAGAGATACTAAAATAATATCCATTATAATAGTTTAAATATCATAGTTAGGAATGATCACGGGTTAGGTTGGGTGGAATTTTTGACCAGTTTGACTCCAACTTTAGTATACCCCTTCACTCGGTCTGATCCAAGTTTAGGAAGATTCTATCCGTACCAAATTCAATCCGACACAAATAAAAAAATATTTTTACTTATTTTTATTTAGTAAAAATGAAGAAAATTAAAGAAAAAAGAATGGAGTATTATAGTTGTCATAAAGGGCTACGACTTTGATTTTGGAAAATGGTGATTTTGAATTAATTTGGATTAAATTGGATAGAGTCGCTATCAACCTTTGGGTTAGGTATGTCGAATACCTAAAATTGTCTTTTAAAAACAATTTAAAAAAAATCGTTTTTTAAGACAAAAGATGATATACGTTTACCAAAGATTCGATGAAAACGGGTTCGGGAGTCGGTTACACGTGGGGAAAGATTAGCACCCCACAGCGCCCAAAATTAGTACTGTTTCACTTACACGTGGTAGAAATCCTGAATCGAATATAAAATTAAATTATGATCCGTTTGTTGGATATTGAATAATTTACTTCAAATTAATTATTTAAAAGAAAATCATTTTACTGGAGCCAACCACTTCCAATGCATTTAACTTGATATAAAAGATTTCTAAAACTTATCCTCTATGATCGTTGCTTTCCTAAACCTTCTCGACAGTGACTTTAATGGAGCCAACCACTTCCAATGCATTTAACTTGGTTGAATACAAATTCAAATCAGTAGTCAAATCTTATCATCAACAAGGAAATCGCCTATTTCACGAATCAAACTAAAGCAGACAGCAACAATTGCTACTGCTACTTCTCCTTTTTTTCTGTTTCCTCCTCCCTAGCTCAACCCCGTATCCTTCCCTTTTTATAGTTGCAAAATTACAATTATTAAAACAATAATTCCCCCACCCCACTTTCATTTGCTCCCCATTTTCCTTTAATGCTATACCCACTACCTTATTAAATATGGGTAGCGGAGTAATAACACTAACATATTGATGCTTCATGTGGGGACTGAAAATGGCACGAGTATGGGTTGCTGTAACTGGGTCTGGGTTGGGTTGTAACCAAATTGAATGCATCTGGATCTTTGTTTTGTGGGCCTGCAAACATTGTAATTTTATTTTAACAATAATAATAATAATAATTATTATTATTATTATTATTATATTTAATATTATTTCGACCCGGACAAAAGCGGGTGTCTACAGATGCCCCTCTTTGCACATTCTTGTGTTAACAAGAATAGGGCAAAGACGAAAAAGACAACCAGTTTTTGTCTGGTTCTTTTTTTTGGTTTTGAGATTTGTTGTTTGATTTGGGAGACGACACTCTCATACGTGATGAAGAGTTTGGGTCGTCTAAGGGTGACAAAACTCCTACATAATGAGGAAATATAGTCAGGGGATGACACTATTCATACTATGATGAATCTTGGCCATCTTTAGGAAGGGTGATAACTCGGTTCCTACTTGATGAGGACAACTGGTTATCTGGGTTGACACAACTCCTACATAATGAGGAAATCTGGTCGGGTGATGACACGGTTCCTACGTGATGAGGACGGCAGACCATCTAAGGGTGATAACACGGTTCCTACGTGATGAGGACGGCTGATTATCTGGGTTGACACAACTCCTACATATGAGGAGATATGGTCAGTTGATGACACGGCTCATACGTGGTGAAGAGTTTTGGCCATCTAAAGGTGATAACACGGTTCCTACGTGATGAGGACGGTTGGTTATCGAAGGTTGACACAACTCCTACATAATGAGGAAATTTGGTCGAGCGATGACACGGCTCATACGTGATGAAGAGTTCTGGCCCTCTTTGGTCCAACCACCAGATTTATTCGAACCGGAGGATTGGCCATCCTGATCAGCCTTGGATTGGCTCCAAATCTTAGCTCCACCACCATTTGTTCCACCACTCTAGCCTTGGTTACCCTCTTTGTTCCAGCCACCAGATTGATTCCAATCGGAGGATTGGCCTCCCTAATCAGCATTGGATTGGCTCCAAGTCTTGGCTCCACCACCATTTGTTCCACCACTCCTCCGGCCCTGGTTACCCTCTTTGTTCCAGCCACCAGATTGATTCCAACCTGAGGATTGGCCTCCTTGTTCAGCATTGGATTGACTCCTTGAACAGGGTAATAAAATGGAAAAAAAAACTAAAGTTTTTAACGACGATGTACTAAAATAAAGAGAAAAAAACTAAATATTAGGCGTGTTTTAAAAAAATTAAAAGTTTAGGTATCAAAACGAATAAAATCAACAATTTAGGTACTAAATGAATAGTATGAGGCAGTTACTGTATGTTTAGAATCTTTCTTACCATTGATAAGATACACACATTCTATGTACATAACTACAAACACGTGGCTGGGTGGATAAAAGTGTAAGGAACCTAATGGGTTTTAAATTCACTAAATCAATTAATGTTGTAATTGAATTGGGAAACACTCACGTGCGGCGCCTTAGTATATGGCTAAAATAAGGCGATACCGGTTTTGTTATTATTTTAAATAACAAAACCGGTAAAAAAATGACCGAAAACATCATTATTTTGACCGGACTTATACAGGTAAAAGCGGTCTGGTCGAAAAAATAATGTTTTAGGTAGCGCTTTACCGAAAACATTATTATTTGACCGGATTTTTTCTACCGAATTTACCTATATATGTAATTATAATCTGTCAAAATAATGATGTTTTGGTCATTTTTTTACCTTGTAATTGCTTTCTTGTGGTTGATGATAAAAGTGGTAAGTAATGGATTAGGGGTTTTTAATTCATTAAATCAATTAATATTATATTTAAAAGACTCCATTTTATTATATTACATCATCTTCATATCATAGATAAACACTAGGATAAAATAGGATTAGTGGATGATATAATATTACATTTTTCAAAAAGTGTATAATATAATATTACAATATGATAATTTTATTTTATTTTTTGTATATTTAAAAGATTCGGTTTTATTATATTACAATATTTTCATATCATTAGTAAACACCATGACGCTCAAATATCATGCAACATCTGGTGTTTGAACCTGAGACCTCTAGAAATAACAATCATTTTTAGTCACTGAGATAACTTAGTTCATGTATATTATTACATATTTCGAAAGGTATAGAATTACAATATGATATCTCACCATGTGAGACACAGAATAAAGGGTGTGTCAATTTTGGCACCACTAAGATTTTGATATAAATGTTTAAAAGTCGAATTATTTTATCGAATGAACAAAATTAGATTTTAAAAAATAATTTTTAAAAGTTATATTCGAAAATCAATTACATATAAAAAAGATTTGAGATATAACCATGAGTTATCCTTTTAACGAATAATCACATGCTATCTCAGTTTTTAAAAGTAACAATTGTGAATCTAATTTTAAAATATGATCACATAAATAGATGCAAATGGTGTGAATTTAATTAAAAATTAAAAAATAGTTTCATTAACTTTTTAATTTTTTTATAGAAAAAATCATTCAAATTAGAGGACTGCTAAGGATTAAATTGCAAAAAGCAGAAGTTAAATAGGCTAGAATAAACAAAGTGCAAAATGGGTCAAATTGAACTGCATGAAAAAGGAAGTATGTTACTCTCAAAAAAAGCTTCGAAACCCCGAGCTATATATCCGACATTAGATCAACACCAAATGGAAGTATGTTACTCTCCTCGGTTCGGGTCACATTTTGATCGGATCATGCCCGAAGCCCCGGATACTCTAGAACCCGAGATCTCAAAATGAAGTATTTCCTTTCGGGTATGTAAGGTGATGACAATTGGTGGCCGAAGTTAGGTGAGGGGACTGTGAGTTTTGTTTTAGCATGTGGTTCGGAGATGATGGCAGCTCGGTTTAAGGTATCGGGTTGACGGGATGACGATAGAGATAAGGATCGGGCTATGAAACAATGGCGGACACAATGGGTACCGGTTGATGGTGAGGATGGTGGTTCTAATGATGGGGGCATAGGCATAGGACGAGCAAGAAATAAGATAACAAAAGGAGCAGATTCTCTAATTTAATAAAACTGCGCCAAATCCTACCATTCATGGAAATTCCAGCATCATACATGCTTCATTGTTTGATAGATTTGATAAAACCAAGTACCTATGCTTATACCGTTTTCACCTAAAAGTTGACACATCATAATGGCATCGCTTAATAGCGATCAAATGAAGACAGGCGACCTCCTCCCATGCCCGAACGATCGTAAGGGCCGGCCCTGTTCCGGTAGCTTCTTCCATCACTCCGCGCTGCTGGCCCTCCACCTCCATACCTATCACTGCCTCTTGGAGCAACATCTCGAAACCCTCTCTCTCTGCCATAACCATTCTGAGGGAAACGATCTGGAACACCATATCGATCTCCAGCAGGGGGATACCTGCATTGTTTATGGAAGCATTAGAATTGAAGATATTATACGACAGATGATGTCAAGCCTGTGCAGTAACATCAGGTTAAAATCTTATATACCTGTCGCCAATGAAACGATCACGGCTCCCATATCTGTCGTCTCTGCTTTCAAAACGGTCCCTATCACTAAAGCGCCCGCCATCATAACGGTCATCTATGTACCGATCACGATCTCTGAAGCGATCACCACAGTCATCAGCGCCACCGTATCTTGAGCGTGAAGATAACAAGACACCACTCCCACCTCGGCCACCACCAGCTGAAGGACAATCGCGGGCCCAGTGCCCGAAGCGCCCACATTTGAAGCATTCATCTTGTGCAACGGGCCTGTCTCTGTCTCCACCTGCATAGCGACCCCTGCCACTTGATGAGTAACCTCCTCTATAGCCACGATCAAGATCTTCACTCATCTTGGGCTGTGCCTTATTCACCGAGATGGTGCGCTCTCCCAAGTCACGTCCATGCATCTCCCTGATAGCATCATCCACGGACCGGCGTTCTGAAAATGTAATAAATCCAAATCCACGAGATCGCCCTGTATCTCTCTCCACCATGATCTACAGATATCCACACACAAAAAGCTCATACCAAACAACAAAGAAATTGTAAAGCAAGTACTACATGATTATCAATATAAGCGTTTTAACATACAAGAAACAAGTAAGCACCATGCATCATTTGTATACTAAGGATAGAAGAAAATTACATCAAGTAAATTTGAAGAACATCAGTCTAGACAATTATGCTTGTGCCTACTTATATCATAAGATAGTTCTAGTTTATAAAAAAGAGATAAGTTGAAGGGAATATGGTATAATAGGGAAGAAGTAAAATTCATAGAATCAAATATATTTCTAGTAAAAATTCATCAACATCATCTATGGAAATGAAATAAATGGACTTCGAAAACATAGTAAACGGGGGAATAAAGGAAGCGGAACTTACTTTCTCCTCGTTATAGTTGGTTATGAATTGATATGATGATATTGCAAAGATTCTTAAAACATAACAGAAGATTCTGCAATTTTTCCTTTTCTGATCTGATAAAATATTACTCTGACCTTGACTCATTCCCACAGGATCCAACATAGCTGCTTATGCAATAACTTATCAAAACCTCCATATGGTCAAACAAATGGTTTTCTTTCTTCCATTTCTCTTCCTCTTTATAGTTACATTCTCACCGGTCAGTGTTAAAAAACAATAGACGCTATGGTTTCCACATTGGGCTAAAATCGATCCTTACCAAGCCAAAAACATTTTCCATATCAGTCGGTTTGTCTGCAAGGTATAAATGACATGAGAAGCAGATACATCATCAGGCCCTATATGCCAAAGCGTACTTATAATGTCCGTGTGCAATCAGTTAGGGAGGAGAAATTTGAAAGTGGGTTCAGAAAACTGCCAAAAATAATGAGTCGTATCTTACAGTTTCAGCATTCTTGGTCAACACAACTGGAAGACTTTGAAAAGGCTCTCACAATAAAATCTGACGGAGATAGGAGTCGCTAAAATAATACAAGCTCCCAAAACTTACTGCTACAGAGAGTGCTTGATCTATTACCTGCCATACAGATGCAGTCCCGGAAAAAGAACAGATTTGGATCTCGGCATAAAACTTTCTAGTTCTTGAGGCTTTCATCAGAGGCAAGAGAAACAAATTGGGGGTTGCTAAACTGATTGGGTGAACGGTGATACAAGCTTGAAAGAGAGAGATTTGAACTTGCTATACCAATATCCATGGATCACGTGTTCATACGGAACCAGCATTCAGTTTTGATCTACTTTATTAGAAAACAGGAAATATTAACAAAACTGCATCAAAACTCCTATGGAAAACATGTTCACAACTAATCCGGCAGACTACATTTCTATTCTGAACCAATTGAGAAATTCAAAGGAATCAACAAAGAAATCGAGATATAAGGCTAAATAGGGATTTTAAGTCACGCTAACCACATCAGCCGATATGATGATATCAATCCCATCCAAAAGCGATTAACACTGCCCTCAGGAAAACTACATAATCATGCATGAGTACACAGCTGCACTTTGTCATCATTTGGAACATAGTGGCCCAGAAAACTATACTCTAACGAGTAGAGACAAAGTTGGCTCACTCCGCAACAAAAAAAGGTCAGGCACATGAGAATTGTACAGCAACTTAAGGCTCCACAAGTAAGGAAAGTCTAGACATGCTTTCATATAAACTAGAAAAGGAAAAGATATCTTCACAAAACCCCAGTCCTCTTGGAAGGCAAATCGACCGATATCATGATATCTATCCCAACCAAAAGCAATTAACACTGCCCTCAAGACAACTACATTATCGTCTGTGCACACACAGCTTCCCTTTATCATCATTTGGAGCATGGTGGCCCAGAAAACTGTATGCTAATGAGTAGAGACAAAGGTGGCACACTTCGCAACAGAAAATGGTCAGGCACGTGAGAATTGTACAGCAACTTAATGCTCCACAAGGACTTCACGAGTAAGGAAGGTCTAGACAAGCTTTCATATAAACTAGAAAAGGAAAAGATATCTTGACAAAACTCTGGTAATCTTGGAAGGCAAATAGACTGATATGATGATGTCAATCCCATCCAAAAGCAATTACCACTGCACTCGAGAAATATCGTTTTTATCATCCGCGTACACACAGCCGCTCTTTACCGTCATTTGGAACATAGTGGCGCAGAAAACTGTATGCTAATGGATAGAGACAAAGGTGGCGCACTCCGCAACAAAAAAGGGCAGGCACGTGAGAATAGTACAGCGATATAAGGCTCCACAATGACTTCACAAGTAATGAAGGTCTAGACATGCTTTCATATACACTAAAATGAAAAGACATCTTCACAAAACTCTGGTCCTCTTGGATGGTAAATCGAAACAAATCGATGACTCATTTGTCGTCCATAAGAAATAAAAACAGTGGTCTTGCCAGAAAATTTTCATAACCAGCTCCACAAAAGCTTCACTGTGATGCTTGCCACAAATGGCAACTTAAGAAACAATGCACATTTCTTTAGACAGTCTCCATAATCGTTTCAGGCTCTTTAAAAGTAAATTTCACAAATAAAGCAAAAAACCTTAAGGCTTGTTCCTACATGCAAGGATCCTTTAATCGAAACAGAACGGGTTCTCCATAACATAATTTAAAAGAACCAGTTTTAACTTCAGCTCCCTTCCATGAACCATACACTTAAATTAAACAAAACACTTTGTGCTTGAACATTATGAATAGAGATTCTTTGCACTTCAACAACTTGATGCAGTCACCTTGACCGAAAACACTTCCTAAAAAACCCATCCACGGTATGTCAAAATGTTCTTAAAGCAATTCAAAAAAGCATGAAACAAGAAAAAATAATTTGACGAGAAGAGAGAAATAATAAAAGCAAATCAATTAGGGAAAGCATACAATATTCAACCATATTGAAGAAAAATTCAGCAACCCATTTTCCACAAAGTACACCACTTATAAATCCCCCATCAATTACTCTATCTAATTTTCCAGGCAACCAAACATAACATGAAAAGGGGCGGAAACAAGGGGAAAACAATTTGTTTATCATTTGAAATAAAAAGTACCTGAGATTCAATAATTTTTCCAAACTGACTAAACGCATGTTCAAGCTGTCGCTCGGTGACATCCCACGATAATCCTCCGACAAATATTCGGTTCTCTTCTTTCCCTGCCATTCTTTACAAAAAAAAAAATATTTCTTCTTTGAAAATCTGCGAATGAGAGAAAATAAAGCCAAACATAAAGATCAAAAAGTTAAAATCTTTATCGGTTTCCTGAGGGAAAAAAATCCTAACTTTCCCGAGAAAAGAATTGTTATTCTTTAGTTTACCTCTCCTCTTTTGGCTTCGTATTACTGTCATCCTGTTGGGGTGCATTTTTATGAGAGAGAAACCCTAGATGATTCAGGCGACACGTGAAACATTTTGGATAAAGCATATTAGAGGTCACTAAACTACATCAAAATAATCTTTTTGGACATATAACTTTCAAATACTATAAAATAATTATTAAACGTCCTAAATTGTTACAAACTGATCCCTACATCGTTAAAATAATACTCTCTCCGTCCCATAAAAGATGCCCTTATTGACCTTCAATCAAATAGTTTTCAAATATATACTTTTACATATTTTTTATCAATAATAAATTTTAAATAATAATTAGTCAAAATTTTAAAAAATGACTAAAAAATCAATAATGGACATCTTTTACGGGATAGAGGGAATAATAAATTTAGATAATATTTAAGGATATTTTACGATTAGTAAATTATAGGTCACTAAAATATATAAAAAAAATGGTCATAAAACTTTTAAATATTATAAAATAGTTGTTAAACATTCTAAAATGTTACAAAATGATCCACGCATAGTTAAAATAGTAATAAACGTTGATAAATTCAAGGATATTTTATAATATTTTGATAAGTTAAAATACCATCTTATAACAATTTGATACATTTTAATGACCATTTTCTAATCATTTGAGAAGTTTAATGATTAGTTTGTAATATTTAAAAGGTCACCACCTAAAAATATTATTTTTTTATACATAATTTAATGATATTTTTTAACATAAACATGATATTTTTTTTATCAAAACTATATCAACAAACGTCTTATCAAATAAAGACTTAATAAAAACCCGAACCAGAAACCGATCGAATACTTTCGGCCTTGTACATTTGCACCCACTGGACCCATAAAGAACCGGTCTGCATTTACACAGCCCACAAGTTTTGCAAGATACATTCTTTATATCATATTTTAATTACTTTCATAGATGCCGATTTTACTATTTTTTTCTTTTATTAAGAAAAGAATATATTAACAAGGATGGCAATTTAAATTGAAACCGACGGGTTTCGAACCGATCTGATTTAATAGGGTTAATTTTTTTTTTAAAAAAAATCAGATTCGGGTTTGGTCGAATTTTTAAGGGACGAGGTCAAGTCGGGTTCGGGTGGAGTGTGAAAAAATTCTCACCTGACCGGGATAATAATGCAATTTCTTTTGAAAAGTTTATTATTTTTTAATTAAGTCTTTATTTTATATCGGGTCGAGTTAGGTCAGGTCGAATTTATAGTATATAAATTTGGGTGGGGTCGGAGCAGAATCTGGTGGAAAACATATATATTCGAGTTGGATTGGGTCTGGTCGGGTGAGGATATATAATTTTTGAGTCGGATCAGTTTAGGTGGAAGATACGTATTTTCGGGTTGGCTGAAAACCCGACCCTAACCCCACCCGTTACCATCCCTATATGTGAACTTTGATTTTGGCAAGGCTCAAGTTGGCATGCAACCGTGGAGTACACAAGGCGTTGATGCTACTTACAAGTGATGTGCAATGCCTTAATGGTATGGGTTGATCCGATCTGCAGTTACCACTTGGGGTCTTTAGCGATGAACCTCCAGCTCTAACTCTCAACGGATAAAGTGCCCAAAACAAAATCTAATTTGGTGATGCATCATCTACATTTCCACCATCTTTCGACTTGCTCCGACCCCGACATGTTCCTACCCCATCCTCCAGCAAGCAGGCAGAGCAGCAGTTCAACTTCATTGCTGCCAGTTCCGACACGACCATTTGTTCCCATCACATGATCTTCACACCCACCTGCTTCCTTACTTTAACCATTCATTGGCTTTCCAATAGGAAGATTGGCCTCCCACGTCAGGAGATATAATAGCATACTAGTTAGTAATGAGGGAAACGACAACGTTTGGGGAAAGTGTGAAAATGAAAAACAAAATGGCCCATGCAGGTTTCGAACCTGACCTTCACGTTATTAGCACGACGCTCTAACCAAGCTAATAGGATTTTTGTTAGAAGCTGACAGATTTTTTATAATGATATTAGAAAGATAACATATTGAAATAAAAAAAAAGTACTAGCAGTTGCTACATATACAAACGCTAGAAGGAGGGCTTGAACCTCCGACCTTGTGGTTAACAGCCACACGCTCTAACCAACTGAGCTATTCCAGCAAGTTTGGTAATGCTCCCACGCAACTAATTACTTTTCATATGTTTGAACTATTTGTACATATGTCAATGGAAACTTTACACTGTTCTGTGGGGCAGAAGAAGGAAGTATTGACATTGAAGCATGCTTGTCAGCAGAGACATCGGAGGCTTTGACAATGGACCAATAATTTATCGATTCCGTAACTTTATAATCGATGTTAATGTTAGTATCGAACATGTGTTCGTTGTGTTGTAAGTTAAAGTTCAGTCATCAGTACCATGTTTTCAGTTTGATTGAGAAAGAAAACGATAATAAATTGCATTGTACTATTTTACATTTTACAATGTCAAATAATACGTGATGAGATACATAACCTACATATGAACTGTACAAGAATTGGAGCTTTGTATCAGTCAATGATTCATATGATTGAAAATAATGTTTTATTCAGGCAGGAAGGGAAGCCTTGTAACACTTGTTCCTCCACTGCTATCAGTTAGCGGCTTCAATCCAGTCTCATTTTGTAAATTCGACGTAGTTTTGAGGGATTTCGATGAAAGCCTTTTGTTTCTATGAGGAAGAATTTGCAACCTTGGGTTAAGCTCGGTACCTGAGTTTTCTGCATCCAACTGATAGCTTTTGACAAGCTCAAGTTGACGGGCAATTATTTCGGAACGTCTCGGAAGAAGTTCAACTGGTTCACCTCCAGGTATAACGATATACTCAATCGCTAGACGAACCTCCTGCAAGAATGCAAAGGAATATGTCAATTTACAATAACTTCATTAAGTGTAGATTGCAGTTAGTTCGACGACATTTGAGTGGATGCGATTTGATTAAACATGATAAGAACAGGGTTTCAATAACATATGCACTTTCCCCACCAAGATTTCAAGAATAATTGAAGAAATTTGGAATTGTTATGAGTAAAGAGCACAAGGGAAAAATATAACACCTCTAAGGCATCGATCTCTTCCAAGGTGGGTTTTCGTTTCGGTGCATCATCTTCAACCTCGATATCGGAAGAATTTCTGTTAAGAAGCCTCGATTTTGAGGTATATGATTCCCTCTCGAGAATCATGCGCACTGCCTTGACCATTTGTGCCATGGTATTTGACTGCAATCCAAGAAAAGAAACCATGTTATCCATTAAACACATTTTATGTATGAAGCGCCATTTTTTTATGACATTTCATATCAGCAAAAAGATTGTACCAGGAAGATAAAAACAACAATGAAGTTGGTGTTTTTCAGCACAATTGTTTGTGAAAATAGTTATGAAGATACCTTAATGACAAACATTGGCAACTTGTGGAACTTTGCTATTCCACGAATCCATGGGTTCTGCTTTATTTCCAAGGCGGATGCTAAAATCGCATCGGCCATCCCAATGTCATCGGTGACATCTAGTTCATCTTCAAGTCCCATTACTGTTGCTACTTGTAAGAGATCAGCTTCAAGGATCTAAAGGATACATCCAACAACAAAAAACATATAAGCACAGCATGAAGACACCCGAAGCTTATCGAGCACATTCAAGATATTCCATTAGAGGCCGTCAGATTACAATTACGAATCGTGTTCTTTTATCGGAAAAAGTTCTAAAAGTCAACCTATAAATTTCAGCAAAGTATCTGTCCAAGTATCTATTTTCCTTCTACTTTTTGCCCATTTCATCATGCACTCTTGAAATAGAAGAAAAGGAAAGCATAAACCATGTACTTCACCTTGTAAGTATAAACAAATATTGGAGAGTTCCGTTTGCTAGCGGACCTGGTAAACCTGTGTTTCTTTTTAGGAATAGGAAGATCATCTTCATCTTCATCACCAAAATCAACTTCAGCACGTTTTTCTTCATTAACATGCAACACAGATTGCTCATCTTCCTCGTCACAATGAACTGCAGCACGTTTTTCTTCATTAACATGCAACGCAGATTGTTCATCTTCCTCGTCATAATGTACTTCATCACTTTTTTCTTCATTAAGAAGCATGTGAGATAGTTCACGATGTTCGATTTTAGTCATCACAGTAGACTTGATAGGAACATTAGCTTCAGGCTCCATCTGACGGATTTCAAATAAAGGACATTTCCCTGCCAACCAGAAATGGTTCTGCTTAAATATCTTCTTAGATGAAAACTTTACTTGATATGCAAGTAGGTAGATGCCAAAAGAAGGCTTGTAAATAAATGTAAAATGGATATAATCTACCAGCCAGTATAGCATCCACAGTTGAATCAAGTCTATGATGGACACGACACTCGGTCTTAGATATCATCTCAACAGCACATGTAAAGGTCGACGGGCCCTTTCGTTCGAGAATAGTCTTTTGCACTTTCCTTTTCCTTGCTTCTTCATCACCCAGAGTTACACTCTGTTTTCCAGTGAAAGAGCGACTTTAATCAATATGAAAAACTTCAGTAAAGGTCGCATAGATCAAAATAATTTACTTGTTCCATAAATTTCCTAACAACATGAAAGCAAGTGGTATATCCATACGGCAAATCCCACTTTGAGCACATTGAAAGCCATATGAGCAATATGAAGTGAAGAAAAAAGAAGTTGCTTTGCACCTCGATGCCACCGACAAGGATCTGTAGAGAAGGGTTCTTTATTATGTTGTCGATGGTCATTCCATGGGCTGTTCCAACCAGCTGAACTCCTCTTTGAGCAATAGTGCTGGCAGCTAATGCTTCAAGCTCTGTACCTATCTCATCAATTATGATGGTCTCAGGCATATGATTCTCAACCGCCTCAATCATAACCTGCAAGGTAATTGAGCCTAGAACAATTAGACTTGAAACAAATGATTGATGTTTTGCAATGAGAAAAATACACATCAATACTCACATTATGCTGCATATTTACATTCGGAACTTGCATTCTCCTTGCACGCCCTATTCCTTCATGGGGGACATCTCCATCACCTCCAATCTCATTCGATGTATCAACAATGACAACACGTTTCATGTGTTCATCTGCCAACATTCTAGCTATTTCTCTGCGACAAAACGAGGATTTTGTCGGATACAGACTTCTTTCAAGAACTTTCACTTAAGTAGTGAGTCAGTTATAGTGATGTAAGATCAGATAACATTAAGATTATGAAACCCTGTGTAAATAACATTAAGAGAAAATCCACCAACAACTGTTTGAACAACACGGACATCGAGAAACAACAGAGACTTTGTAGGAATAAGTACCTGATTAAGGTCGTTTTGCCAACTCCAGGAGGACCTATGACCAGGATGGAACCTCCTCCCTCGACCAAGTCGTGAATAATCTCAGCACTTCCAGACGCAGCTCGACCCACCCGGCAAGTGAGGCCGATAATTTGCAATTTACGGTTTCTAATAGCACTAATGCGATGTAATGATCTATCGATTCCGGAACGGTTATCATCCGAAAAGTCACCAACCTAGGACAAAACAAGCAATTTCAATCCACTTATAATCTATGTCAAAAAGAAGCAACTTCATCTCAAAAAGAACTATGCCAGCCACAAAAATCCCCTTTCCAACAAATAAAGTAACAATTACTCTATTTAATTATCAATCATTCAACAGATAGTATTTTTCTTTTATTGAAGTCAAATTTTATTATAAAAAATACTCTCTCTGTTAAACATAAAGCAAAAATTCAAACCTGAAGCTTAATCTAATTGGTTGAGGGATCATCCTTTAACAGTGATTCGAATCCATCATCTACCTCAAACTATACAAAAAAATTGAGCAAAAAGTTCAAATTAAGACTTCACTAATTCACTGAAAATCACCTTAGATATGGCGTGCACTAAATCCTCATGCTTAACGGGCTGATCTGAAATAATCCAATCCCCGGAAGGAAACCTAGCGAGAGGCTTCCTCCCCAAATCCATAACCACCTCAATCAACTCCCCTATCTCACCATGCCCGCTAAGCTCTCTCCTCACCCTCGACGGTAACATCTCGAGGAACAAATCAAGCTCCGTGCACGCCTGGAATCGGGAAGTCGAGGTCGAAGCCGACGAAGACCCATTCGAGGACGTGGATCGATCCGACGGTTTCCGGATCTGCTGGGTGCGGAGGCTCGAGGGCTGGGATTGCTTCAGAGGCGCCGTGGGGGGTCTCTGATGAGCTCCGCCGCGCTGCGACATGGTGACGAGGTGGGAATGCCGCCACTGACGGTGGCGCCATGAGACGGCGTCGTTTGTGATGTCGACTAGAACGAATCTGGAATTCAGAGCTCTCATTTCGTTGGAGTGTATGGTTTTGTACCTTCCTTGTGTGCTTGGTTTTTGTAGGAAGGAAAAGAAGATATGAGAAGCAAAGGGGAAGACGAGGAAGAAGAAGATTCCAAGGGATCTCCTCTGGGGTAGGAGGGAAAGTGGGACCCCACGGCGGACATTGCCGACCGTGGAACACGAAGGTGGTTTCTTTGGTGACACGTGGGAGATATCTGGATTTTTTGGATTACATTGTAAAAAAGTTAAAATATGGAGTACTGTTACTGACAGTAAAAAGAGTAGACAGTTGCGCAGTTATTTCGGGTAAATTCAGTTAAAAAAGTTGAATAGTTAGGATAAATTAGTATATTGTCACATACGGTACCTATACTTGAACAAAACATTCAATTTAATACTTTTAATTTAGCGAAATATCTAATACCACACATGTATTTTGATAAAAGTTTAATATAAACCTATAGTTATGGATAGGCATGGGACCTGAATCCGACGGGACTCGACCCGATCGGGTTATTTTTTTAATTTTGGGTTTGGGTCGGGTTTTTTAAATATGATGTTCGGGTCAGGTCAGATTCGGGTTTATGGTGAAAATACCCGAACCGACCCGAAAAAATATAATTTTACCTTATATATTTAGGAATAATTACAATAATACCCCTTTATATATTATTTTTTCAATTAAATCATTGTTTTTATCAATGTTATTAAAATCGGACCAGTCGGTTCGATCGATTGAACTGTGAACCGGTGGCCTGTCCGGTCCGGTTAACTTCCAAAACCTACTGTGCATAGAACCGATAAATAATCGGTAAAACCGGTTGAGAACCGGCAAAATCAGGGTGAACCGGCTGAAAATCGGTAAAACTAGTGTGAACTGCCGATTCTCTTTTTTTCTTTAAAAAAAATTAAACCAAACGACGTCATTTGTTAAACGAGTCGAGTCGAACTCGAGTACTGTTGAGCTCGACTCGAACTCGAAAACTTTAAAAGTAAGCTCAACTCGACTCAAAAACTCACGAGCTAAAAATTATCAAGTTCAACTCAAACTCGAAATATAATATTGAAACTTGAACTCGAAAAGGCTCAAACTCAAAAAAAAAATTAGAAGCTCGATTGAAGCCTGAAATTCAAACTCAATTGAAGCGAAAGAATAGTTCGCTCTGTGCTCACCAAAATACTCCATGATTTTGAATATCAAATTACCTCTAGTATTTATAGAAGTCTGTTGGGATGTTCTTCTATGTTTCTTAGCCATGTGGGATTGTTTTGTTCTCATATTTTTACTCTTTAGACTTTTGGGATGCTCTTCTATTTTTCTTAGCCATGTGAGATTGTTTTTTTTTTAAAAAAAATTAAACTAAACGACATCGTTTGTTATGGTTTTTTTCAGCCACAAATTTATTTTTTGATTATAGTTATAAAAATATATTTATTATTTAATATGTTTTACCTTAAATATTATGTTGTAGTTGATTTGAATCATTTTGTTTCACTTGATTTTATGTTTTTTAATTTATATATGTTATTTTCATACTTTTTAATATTGTAAACTTAAAAAAATGTTATATATATATTAATATTGTTTTGAATATTATATAAAATTTAAAAAAATATTATTTTATATAAAATCTGGTTGAACCACGGTTGAACCAGTACCTTCACCGGTTCAAGGTCCGGTTCGGTTTTATTGACTAAAAATAATATTTTTATTATTATGTTGGGTCGGGTCGGTTCGAGTTTTATCTCAAAAAGTTGGGTCGAATTCGAGTCGGGTGGATGATATATATTTTTCGGATCGGGTGAATGATGTATAATTTTCGGGTCCGTTTGGGCGAAACCCTACCCATGCACATCCCTACCTATAGTTCAATAAAATATTCTGTATATGCAAAATGATGATATAGCGAGAGGAAGATTCATCTTTGGTGACCGATGTCAGTGTCACGGACGGTCACATAATTTTATGTTAGGGAACAAATTTTTAAAATTTCGGGTGGAAATGAATTTATAAAAATTCCAAGAATAAAAATATATGATCAACAAAAAAATATAAAATAAATATATAAAATATATAATAATTCAAAATTTACATGAACAATTTAATTAACAACTGCTCGAACCTTCATCATCGTCTTATTACGAAATCGAAACCAAAGTCAAGGTCCTCGACCGCGCAACACAACGAGCACATGTCAATACTATACGTAGAAGAGTTGTGTGGGATTAGTTTTGTAGTTGTAACTTGCAGGTCCATTAATTTGACTTTTAAAATGTTCAGAAACGAAGTACACGAAACAAATTGTTCGTTAGATGGATTTGTCCTATGTTGATAGTTTGGCCGAATGGTCTAAGGTGCGAGATTTAGGCTCTGGTCCGAAATGGTGTGGGTTCAAGTTTGATTGCCGTCGGTCATGTTTTATGTAGGAATGGGTATTGGTCGGGTTTTTAGTCTATCCGACCCGATCTGAGAACAAGGAGTCCTCCACTCGAGATCCGACCCGACCAAAACAAGTTTTCATCCGACTCGAACCCGCCCCAATATATAACTTAAAACCCCGACCCGACCCAAAATAATTAAAAAATTATTTTTATTCAACAAAAATAGTGACTTAATTGAAAAAATAATATATAGAGGGGTATTATTGTAATTATTCCTAAATATATAAGGTAAAATTATATATTTTTCGGGTCGGGTTGGATCGGGTATTTTTCACCCTAAACTCGAATCTGACCCGACTGAACTTCACATTTAAAAAACTCGACCCGACCCGACCTGAACCATAATTTTTTAAAAAAAGAAATCCTACCCAATCGGGTCGGGTAGAAACCCATCGGGTTCAGGTACCATGCCCATCCCTAGTTTTATGATAGAATCAGAAGTTTAATGAGTATTTATAACTTTCGAAATATTCGAGTTTAAAAAAAGGTCATTCTAACTTAGTTCAATGATAATTATTGTGTTTTATCTAATAAATATTTCATCTAATTATTGTATTCATTTAAAAGTTTTTGTGTTTATATTATCTTATGTACATTCTTTTTCCTAATCTATGGAACGACATGCAAAGCAATGTGGAAGCAAGCTTCCCGAGAATTATTACTCGGAACCAAGCTAGTTTTATTGCATGTAGAAGCATGAATGATAACATCATCGTTGCTTAAGAGGCGATCCATTGCATGAAGCGGGAGAAGGAAAATCCTTGCTGATTGGCTGGTAAAGTTGATCTTTAAAAAGCGTATGAAGTTCGAACTTTGTGGGGGTGCTAGACCTTCCACACATTTGATTGACTCTCGAACCCGTATTTATAAATATCTGATTTAGAAAAAATGGGCTAATAAATTTTTCTTGAAAAATACGTTTTTTAAAATTATCTTTTTTAAAATACACTTGTATATGGGTTTGATCATACCTAACCTCAAATGATCGATTGAGTCTCAAGTCTTCTTTTAAAAACTAATTTTGTATAAAAGTCCAAATCACATTTTAAAAAAAATCATCAAGATTAAGGATCGTTTCGACATCCATCTTCGTCATTTTCGTCAACTATCCCCAAATAACCTTTCTCCGTCCTACCCAAACCATAAATCCATCAAGCTTAACCCTTATTCAAAGTTTGACTAGTACCCCTCATGAACACACATAAAAGTAACTAAAAAGAGAATGGGGAGAAAAAGAATCATTTGGAGTTGAGAGATATTTGGAGACGATTAGAAATAAGGGTTAGAGAAAATAGAGAGTAAAGAGAGCGAAATAAGAGAAATGAAGGGAAAAAATAGTTTATATAATCTATCAAAACTACGTGGTTTTGGTCTTTGAAAAACTCATCTAAACGATGTCGTTTTGGTACACTGACCCATTAATTGAATGGAATTAGAATTTGGATAACGTTTTTGTTTAAACAATTTAGAGTAATTGCAGGAGGTATCCCACGAAAGTTGTTCTCAACCTGGCGTTGGGACAGCCTACTATCCTACTTCCCCCTTACCCCTTACCCCATTACATATGGGAATAGGGTCAGCTAATTTTAATTTAGGGTAATTGCAGCTCTAATCCTTTTTAGTTCTTATCCCTTTCAAGTTAGTTTGTAATTATCGTTTAATTACTAAATTGACCTTACTTTCTATTTTAACAATTATGTGCCCAAAATCATTATTTAATAATTTTTATTTTTAATTTTTGAAGGTGAGTATATAAATTGAGAGCCATGCTGAGGGGCGAAGCTTTAGGAAAAGTAACATTTTGGACTAGAGACTAGAAATGGTAATTGCCAGAGTTTAATGTAGTCACGTACGGAACTACCTTTAGGGTGCGTTTGGTTCACGGAATATAAGATTACCAGTGGGAATGTAATCCACATTCCCACGTTTGGTTAGCCCGGGAATCCCATTCCCGGTAATGTTAGATTACCAATAGTGGATTTTTTTGGGGTATATTACCGGGAATGTCATTACCTCCCTTTCCTTAGGTATTATTGGATTACCGGTGTTTTGGACTAAAATGTCCTTAAATTTTTATTTTTTTCAAAAACATCATTCTTCTGTCATTGAATAATAAAAATTCTACGAATATTAAATTACAAATTTATCCTTAAATTATTATAGATTTACAAAAAAAAGTATATAATTAAAATTTTATATGAAGTTCAGGGGTTAAAATAAAATTTTACCCTTTCATTAAACCTTTTTATATTTTTAATTTTGTAAAAAAATATATATAAATATTATGAATTTAAATTTTTAAAGAAAATATATAAATATTTTCTAACTTATAATATTATACAAATATATAATAAGGACAATTTGGTCAAATATACATTCCAATAATCTTTTATTCCTTTAACCAAACACAGTAATCTTACATTCCTGCTAAGCTAACCAAACACAAAATACAATATTCCCAGTAATCCTATTCCCTGGTAATCTTACATTCCCACTGGTAATCTTATATTCCGTGAACCAAACGCACCCTTAGTCTTGGGGGGTGTCTCTGCTTAACGAGTTGAACAGTTTAAACTTGACACGGTCAAAATTTTATTTTGT